TCGACAGCTCCTCGAATCTTGGGCGGTCGATTCGTGAAGCAATGATTTTCGCCTGGAGAGGTTCGATCGCCTCTCGAACCGCTCCATGTAAAAAAAGCTGCTGGTATTAACCCCTCGCACTCGAGTCGTTTCGTTGTTTAATGGTGTTAATATTTATTATTCAGGAAAGTTATCAAAAATATAAAACGTTACGACTATACCAAGTGCTTTGACACTTCAATTTAAGACCTCATTGGATCGTGTTTTGAATACGTGCCTGTTACATTTAAGCATCACTGATCCGATGTTTATGTCCGAGGCGAATGTCATCCATCTCTTGTTGTCTATTTCTTGACTCGGTACTGAACTCAAGTACGTACGTACGCGATAATCGGTTACTCGTTGATGCTTGTAAGCAAACGCGTCCATTATATCTTTATAATTTTAAAAACAGCATCAATTTTTCTCAAGAGGATGGTAAATAATGTTTAGCCGAAACTCGAATTAGTAATTAATGATTGTGTTTAGATTGACGTTATTTTTAAATTTATTATAGTAAAGATTTGCCTTCGCGGACGATTTAAACATCTTCAAGATCGTTTCGTCCGAAAAAGATCTGTTTGAGATTGAGATTTGCTGATAGCTTACTCTGAAACTCGAGTTCTGATTAATACAGTTTTTAACGATAGTTTCAATTCTGCGTGACGATAGAAACTCAGAAAACGGTAAAAGAAGCAAATATTTTTCTACAAGAGGAAATAGCGTCGTAATCGATAGAAAAAGTGGTGTAACACTTTGAAATTGAACGATTGATAGAAATTGTAGATGCTGCGAGGAGAGTACCGTAGGATTCGCGAAGGCTTTCCTCGATGGCATGAGGCAGCCCCCAGGGACGACCACAAAAGGTGCGTAGCCTCGATCCTCTATCCTCGGAACGCAGGGTTGATTTATGAGCCGATGGAGGGGAGGGCGCATGCGCACCAGGCCACAGGATTCACTGGGGTCTATCCCCTCCTCCATAGAGGAACCCGGCAGAGCATTCAGCCTCCTCCCTTCTTCGTCGGTTCCTTGTCCACTCGGTTATTAAAACCTCGGCGACACGGTCGGCAACCAGCAATTATCTGGCGAACGCTCGGAGCCGCGCACGCTCCATCCGCGAACGGTTCTCGTCAGTCTCGTTTTGGTTTTCGTTTTCGTCTCGGTCGGCCGTCGCACACCGCAGTACCAAGTGATCAAGATTACAAGGATTACGTACATTGTTCCTTACTCCGTTCCGTGGCACATGTGCCGGGGAACTCGTGCTCACCAGAGGAATAATAGTTAGTGTCGAAGAAGCGATCGTGAACTGGCAAGAAGTGAAGTGATGGCACAAGTGATGCAGTATCAACAGGTCCGTTAACAATTTATTTCCCGTAAACACGGCTCATCGCAGCCATGAAATCACAGTGTAGAACGCGAGTTTTGTTTCGCGGCCTTTGGAATGTGATTACTTCCCAATCGATGTCGCCTTGCAAAACTCGCGTGTCTCGCTGCGAAGTTCCAGAGAAATTAAAGAAACGGATAAATCACGAGATTTATAATTTAATAATCGCGTTTAATAATCGAATTTTTAACCGATCTCGAAATAATCTCGGATGAGCTTCTCGCGAGACAAATGGAACTTGCACACGTTTCTCCAAAAGTAAACGTTCCGGATCATTGATTGGTGATCTTTAAAATTAATAAATAATTAATTACATTTAGTTTACGATTCCTCTCGAAGAGGCCTTCCGCGCTATCTCCTAAAAGATTCCTCTCGGGTGCAGTTTCCATTTGCCATTAAGAAACTTAATTAACCCTTCGAATGTCAGAGGAAATTTTCATACATATCCGAGAAATGCCAGACGATTGTAAGCAAAGATACGTGATTGCAAACAAAAATGTAGAGTTTCATACACAAGGACAAAACGAGTCTTCACCTTTTCGTTTCTTTTTCTATAACATAAAATTGATTCGTGATTCCAGATGTGCATGCCGACGATGTCTCCAATGCCAGGCATGACGCCGATGTCCAGCCTCGCGATGCCGATGCATCAACCCTCCGCGATGGATTACGGGGGTCCAGGAATTCACTATCAGCCTTACAACCCGACGTTGAGCAGTCACCATCTTCAGACCAGCCAATCGAGCTACTGGTATCCTGGATCGACGGGTCACAGTCAAATTACGGAGCCATTAACACCGCCTGCGTACACCATGCCGACTGTACCACCCTGCACATCTTCGTGGACGACGCAGACACATCTTCCGCAACCCCAGCTCACGGCAATCTCAACGATTCAGCACTATTCCTTGCCGCCAAGTCCGCCAGATCTTCCGAGTCCTCCGGATCACTCGTCCCCATATCAATGGCCCCTGACGCCACCTGCGGATCACCATCATCATCATCATCATCATCTCTTGACCACCGAAGAACCTGGAAAATCTGGCCGGAAGTGCACGAGATGTCGGTGTCCAAACTGCCAAACGGACGGCGGTGGTCAGCTAGGAGTCGACGGGAAGAGACAGCACGTCTGCCACGTGCCTGGTTGCGGAAAAGTGTACGGCAAAACCTCCCATCTGAAGGCGCATCTCAGGTGGCACACCGGCGAACGACCTTTCGTCTGCAACTGGCTGTTCTGCGGCAAGAGGTTCACCAGGAGCGACGAGCTGCAACGTCATTTGCGGACTCACACGGGCGAGAAGAGGTTCGCGTGTCCCACGTGCGGCAAACGATTCATGAGGAGCGATCATCTGACCAAACACGTGAAAACCCACGAGAACCAGAAGAGGAAGAGTTCGTCGAGCAAGAAGGAGTCCAACAAGGAGAACTCTCTGCCCGCGGTGACCGCGCAAAACGCGTATCCATCGATCGCCGGACAGTACACTGTCATTTAGGGGTCGTGACGCTGCGAGATTCGTTGGAATTTTGTTCGGGCACGAACATCGCGAAATGTCGTTAACCCTCTGTCGCGTGAAATAGAAAATGTTCGTTATGCGTCCACGAATCGAGTAATTATTGAGGTAAAAGATGAGTGGCCGAACTTATGAGAACCAAAATATTTATCACCGTAAGAACGCGTATGCATGCACGGTAGGAACTGACTCGGTGAACTTTACTGGAAATGATTTTAATCGATTGATCGCGCGGTAGAGAGTTAGGATGGCGGTGTTCGTCTAACTAACGTAATTAGAATCGCAGTTTGCACGTCCTTGTAAATAATCGAATCGTTAATGAAAGTTCCTGTCCACTTATGTAATTATTGTAAATAGAAGAAAAAGTTGTATATTTTTGTAAATTATATATCAGCTTCGGTGAATGTAATTATGTTGTATAATCCGAATTAAAAGAATTCCTTTTCAGTATATTCGACTGCAGTTCACTCAACCCTGACAGGTTAAGTGCTCCTTAATTCTCCACGTAAGAACGTTGCCTGCGCGATGGGTGTGATCAGAACGAACGTGAATTTTGTACGGTGTCTCAGATCTTAGATTTACCGTGAAAATTCACATAATAACGAATCATCCCCTTGTCGTATATCAGGTTCCTCCCCGACATCTTCCTGTCATACGATACACGCCGAGTCCCGCCCAAAGAACACAATGCGACGTAGGTACTTCAGAGTCCAGCCCTTCGCGATGATTTTCTACCTGGCAGGTGTTTAGATTCCGATAAAGAAATGAAATATCATTCCACGGAAACTACTTTAGATATCCCCAATTTTACAGGGTTATTTTTAAGATAACACTGTCGAGATGAAGCAATTACAAGCCATTACTATTATAGCAGAATCGTTTTCATTTTAACCTTTCAAACACCTCGTTTCTGACCATTATCGTTTAAGTTTGAGAGTTAAGAAGAATACCTCGTTTAATATACGTATTATATACATACTGTACATATCACATTTGAATTGATAACGACTTGAATTACAAAGTTGCATGTATTGAGAGAACAATTGTAATTCAAATACAGTAATTACAATCATTGCATACAAATGTTTCAAACTTTCTTACAAAACCTTGTAATACCTCGTCTTATAAATACCGAGCTTCTAAAGATGACAAAATTTACGTGAAAATTTGTTTATATTGAAAATTACGGAAATTATGCTTGTTACACATGGTGGTTCCCAGGGAAACCGTGGAACCGCGTACGGCACTGTGCGACGGATCGCTTCATTCGTATTCCCGCCGAGAGATGGCTGCACGGTGAATGGAAAAAGCCCGGGAAGCCCCATTAAGGGGGCGGCGCGCTGGAGCCCCGTAGCTTCGTAACCCTGGCAAGGATTCATGGCTGGCGCGTAGAGGTAGAGGCAGAGAGGCAGACTCGAAGACGGAAGGCAGAGGGAAAGCTAGACGGTGGTAGGAGGAAGCGAGACAACGGAAGAGACGGAAAGAATGCACGAAAGCGAGATAGCGTTCAAACGAGGGGGGAGGAGCGGAGGTGAAGGAGTACGAAAACGGAATAAAACAAAAAGAGCGAGCCGCGGAGCAAATTATAGGGAAAAATAGGGAGGGACGAGGCGGTGGAGGCAGCACAAGCACCGTGGTGTGGCACTCAACGGTGGAAGACGATCAGGTGGATGGGTGGAAGGGTAGGAGGGGGGAGGGGGAGGGGTGGCGCCACGGCAATTCCAGGCTCGCGTTCAACGTTCCCCGCTGGAGTACCGCGGCTATCCGCGAAGTTAGTGCACAAGAGATTCAAAGAGAGTCGGCAGAGTGACGAGACTCGTGTCTCCCGTTCGTACATCAGCTGCGAGGAGGTTTCTCGGCCGGGAGCGCCGGTCCCCGAAGAGTCCCAACGCGAAGAGGAGAGTTTTCTGTCGAGTGGATCCGTCGTGGGGACGACGAAGACCGAAAGCTTCGATTAAAGGGGAGAGGGAGAGAGAGAGAGAGAGGGAGAGAGAGAGAGAGAGAGAGAGAGAGAGAGAGAAAGAAAGAGAGAGAGAGAGAGAGAAAGGACGTATAGAGTACGGCAGCTCTCTCTCGCGTGTTACGCGCGGTCAGTGCGAGAGGCTGCAACGTGCCGCGAGCATGCGTCTGCGACGGACGGCCCTTAAGGCGGATACGCAACACGCCGACTCGTCGCCGTCGTCGTCGTCGTCACCGTCGTTGTCCACACCCGTGAATGCTCATTTTTCGCCGTAACATACCGTCGATGAGGCGAAAAACGGACGAACAGGTTCGTAGCCGCGCGCATGCCACACGATCGAGCCGAGACCGGTCTCGATTCCTAACCAATCTCGATTCTCAGCCAATCTTGGTGTATCAGCGGCCTGATCGCTACCGAAACCGTTCACCCCTCGCCGTTCCAGTCCCTACCCGCGAAACGTTTCGCCGTTTACTCGCCACTCGCGACATGTCGGTGGACGAGCAGTGATTCGACGCGAATTGTACCCGCCTGTGTTCCGCTACCTCGGCGGTCGGTTCAATTCTCGCGGGACTTGTGCACGACCCGACCAGTGCTGACAGCCCGGAGTGTCCACGTCCGCGGTAAGTTTGGTGACGTTCGCGATCGACCCGCGATCGCACGGTATCGTCGTTGTATCTGGAATTAACAACAAAACCCCTCGCAGGGAATTTTTCTTGCTCCGTTATCGATTCCTCCCCCCGCGCTGTCAATGGACACGTCGAAGAATCCCCAGTTGAGCACGGGCCGCGGAACGACACAGTAGCGAGCCGCGAAGGAAAAGAATGCTACCGGGGCTCGTTAATCGGACAGTGATCGAAACTTGTGACACAGTGTTTTGTTGTTGTTATTGTTGTTGTTGTTGTTGTTGTTATTGTTGTTGTTGTTATCGTCGTTGAGTGCGGACCGTGGTGCGCGGGACAGACCCTTCCGAGGATCGAACAGGGCTGTTCGAGGTTCCCCGCGACTGTGAGGGCCTGGGCTCTGTGCATCGATATTTTTGAGATCCACGAGACCGACCGAGGCGGCAAGCTGGACGCGGAGGTCGGAGGCGGCGGTAGCCGCAGGGGTGTCAGCCCGCCAATGCATCTAGGCAACATAAACGTGAGTATTTTCCTGAATCTGTTTACATATATTCGCTTGCGTTATTTGCCAAACGGCGACTTGTTTAAACGATTTCGGTGAACTTTTTGAAGCTGAGAGTTTAGTGCGTCATTTATACCGCTAACAAAGATTCCAGTATCGTTTAAATAATAGCGACGATGTATTCAAGGGGCAGATTTTTTGCACTTAATAACCAAAAATGAATACTTGATTCTATCAATATTTCCACTGCAATGTTCATAAATATTCATCGATATGGCTCCGATCATTAATATTTTCGAAACCCCTTCAAATATTAATCCATATGTCTGTTACGAATAATACTCGTGCTTTAAAATTTAACCAATCGCATACTTTTCATGAACTACATACAACGATATAGTTCGATTCAATCGTCTATCGATAACTTGATATCTTTAACAGTAAACCTACCACGGCCGATCGCGTGATCATTTCCAAACTTTTGTTGCACAGTTCTTATATTCGATATACCAATATACCAATCTGAGCAGTGAGAACAGTTGGAGCAGTCTTAATCTAAGGAAATGTTTCTTACAGTTCCCTGAGAAGATCCAAAATGTAATCTTTAGAACAGAGATCGATATTGGCGTTAGAAGAGCCTTAATTCTACAACCGTGGTTAGGTCGCAGGACCTGGCCGAGAGAGCCGCCAGTCAGTTCTAGCCGATATAGTAAACGTTAGTATGTTGCTACGCCCGCTTCACGCCCACTATACATCATGCGTTATGTGCAGACCTACCTGCCGACGTGTACACGCCGTTTCAAAGGTGCTGTGCTCTGTCGGCAATAAATTTTCCTTGCGAAATCTTCTGGCGCAACAAAAACTCGTCTCCTGTCTCCATTTAAACGAAGCATTAAATATAAGAAGGTTACGTTTATTTCGTTCAGCGATATTATTACATCATTTGCCACTAGGTTCTCTCTTCTTTGATTATTAGAAATTATTAGAAGAGGACCTGGTGTAAGGTCGAAACGTAGGACAATAATTTTACTAGCTAAACTAAATTCGTTTCTAGGTATTTTATTTCTTGTAGGAATATATATTTAGAATAGAAAGAAACTGTAAAAATCACCCCTCGCGGATAATTGTTTCTTGTTGTTATCGCGGGAGAAGAAGATACTTTGTTTTGGAGTAGGGAAACAAATTCGATATATCCAAAGAAAAGAATATTATATTATACAATATTAAATGAAGTTCAAAGAGCATGTACAACTACTCCTATGGACTTACTTCGTTTTCGTTCAACCTCCTCAGCAGGGAGAGACTCAGCGAAAACTGAGTAACTGAGTAACTGTCATCCGCCAAGATTGATATAGAAATTTTTGGTTAGGCTTCTACGCTGAGAAAAGAACATTGTAGACATTTTGAGGCACGTGAAACTGTCTGTAGGCAGAGGAGCGGAGTAGGCCATTCGGCCGAGTTGAAACGCGGCAGAGCAGACGGTTGGAGGGCAAGAAACACAGTGCCGGCACTTCGCTGACACACCTCCACACAAATCTAATTAATTTATATCCTGAGAGAGGCGCCACTAGGGATGTCTAAGTCCGACAGGAAAAAAGAAACGAGCAAAGGAAAGGGTGCCTATGGTACCGGCTCTCGCATTCGACTCGCGGGAACCGATGGGTCTTAGCTTTAGTGCGGCGAAGGGGTTTCAAAGGTCTTCTACAAGTTCCTCCAAGCATTAAAACAATTTTTCTTTTTCTCTTCTTGTCGACTTCTACGTGATTAGCCACTGATTTTGAGTATTTGTTTTGGTGTAAAATGAAAAAGACGATCTTTTGTAGATATGTGATTGAAATGAAAGTGATTTCTTTACTGAAACATGATATTAGAAACGTATAGTTAATTGGTATCAAAGGAATGATTAAAGGTATCAAAATTTGATATGATTCTAGATGAGAGATTTATTGAAGACAGATACAAATCAATGTTTAGAGTCACTTTGTAAGAGAACTTTTTCTCCCGACCACATACATATAAAGTGGTATTAGTTCTGCTTCGTTGGACGCCTAGATCATTAGATTTACGATGTATTTAAAACAGAACGTTTTAATGGTTTCTAATTTGTTAAGCGTGCGGATATTCATGTCAAAAGGCGTTGGTCATTCAATAAAACATAACTTTCCAATGGAACGACATTCTTTTATATATAAATGGCTAATAATTAATCCGAGTGGTAGAAAAATTAATCTAAATGGTTAGTAATTAATAAAAACCCATAAGAAAACCGGGAAAACTTAACCAGTTTCCAGACTCCGCATAATTAATTAATTGTCTAGTCACACCTTACAAATAATTTACGTTATCCCAGAGCAATGAACGAAGTAATTTGCATTGAATTATTTAAAAGAAGTAAAACGAGCTCAACCGATACGATCAAGAATCGCGAATTCCAGAATTGTGCTAAAAATATAATTAAGGACACCGAGTTAGTCAATAACGATTAAGTAGTAATAAACTTTTGAAAATAGACGCGGTCCCTGCCAACCTTGCGATTTCAGTTGATCTTAAACAGAACAACTCGATAAATAAATAATAAGAGTGGGCCGTCATACTGGCCAGTCGATCCAATTAACTTGTCCCCCAGAAAATCCACACGCATCGCGCGCACGTACTGCTCGAACCCTCATTAGCGGTTTACCTTAAGCGTCGCGTGAACTTTGCACCTGCGAATCGCCACCTCCCAGTTTCGAGCCCCCCTTTTTCACGAAAGTCGACTAAATAGCACGGTTGTCCATCGGTCGAGACAGTGGTTCTTAACCATTTGAGCTTGCCGCGCAGTTTAAAAGATTAATAAACAGCCTGTTCGAAGGAACAGTTCTGTTCTTTCTTTTGTCGAAGGAACCAAATACAATTCCTGCAACAAAAAATTGAATTCTTTCCTCTATTAACTTACAGGAAAAGATGTAAATACCATGAAGCACTTGACTATAATCGTAAGAAATGGAAATGTGCGTGCGCGCCAGATGTGAGAAATCGTTTAGCCACGAGCCGATCGTTGCAGCTGTTGCCGATTATGCAACACTCGCTGTCGGAAATAAAGACATCGAGTGTATTCTACTTGGATGTCGAAGACACGGCTGGTTTCGGGCCTCGTTATCGGAAAAAAAAAAAAGAAAACAGGGGTTGGTAACTGCTCGAGCGAATGCGATGACACTTTAACCGCGGATTCGTGGCTAGGCCAATCTGTCTACATTGCGTATTCAACGGGTTTGTTGGAAAGTCGTAACGCGATCTGTTAGTACGGTGGACAGGCTCGAAACATCCTGGCACCAACGTTATTAAGCTATTATTCTTAATCAGAGTGAAATCGGTGGAAACGTGGCGCGATGCAACGGAGCCCTTCCTCTCCTAGCGTTATGTACACGATTAATAATTTGTACGGAGCAAACGAGCCCCCAAAAACATTTACGGCTCGCCGAGGCCACGTGCGCGGAATAAAATAAGCAGATTATGCAGATGAGAGATACCGATTCTGTCACTTTTGATTTACGGTCGGTCGTTTAAGGGCGTCCGAGCGACACAGGAGTGGGAAAGGAGCGAGCGAAGAGATCGCTTCTCGCGGTGCCGCGAACCTAACCGCGAATATTTACTTTCGTCCAGGTTAAGTGCACTATTAACTAACCTCGCGTTAATATCCCCGTTTTCCACCTCATTATGCTAATTGCGGGTCTACTGGCCTTCGAGGCCACGAAAGGGCACCGTCGTTGCCGCTTCCGTGCCTAAGCTTGTCTCGTACCTAATTGTAAGCACTTGTTACGGTCGCGCCGAGGATACGAGAACACGGTAGTTTTTATTCGAACGCCGGTAGGATTGGTTACGAAACTCGTGCAATACCTGATCAATATTGATCAGGGACAGGTTACCAAGGAAGTACCTGTCTATACAGTTGACGTATCGCGTGTTTGTCTTTTTAAATGTTTTTATTCAAGATAACACCGACACGAGTTTGGATTTCCGATTAGAAATATAATACTATAGCTATGTGCTATTTCAATTCATTTTGTCCTTCCCGGTGAAGTTATAAACAATATCGTTGCATCCGACCCGTACTCGCAAGAAACAGGGACGAGAAGGATTACCTGCACAAAGGGAATCGCTTTCACGACCAGAGCAAATGAAGAAAAAAAAATACTTCGCGAAGGCAATCATCCAGCTGCCGAGTGTTTTCCGTTCATTGTGGCGGTAACCGACGTCGATTCGATTAACCCGATCCTCGATCGATATTGCCCTGTCGCTCTTCTCCCCGAATCCGATAGAGAGACGTCGATAAATTTATTTACGAGGGGAATGTTTCGAACCCGATCCACCGCGCGTCGATGCTCGCCCGGGGTAATTGGCGAGGAACATTTTAAGGAGCGAAGGAGTTGCGGAGTAATCAACATTTAATGCATCGCATCGATGGATTACGGTTAATGTTAAGCCGTGGGTGAACCCGATCTTGATGTCGCGCGCCGTGGGAAAATGGAGGAAGTGGCTCCTGAAGTCCCTGGCATTTCTTCGCGACGGATATAGTCGTCAAACTCAGCTGACCGGTTAATTTGAATAGTTAATTTAGACTAACGCAAAAAGTTGACGTTGTCACAAATCCAGCATGCATATCGAGCGTGGATTAACATTGATCGTTGGAGAGATCAAGGCGTTATCGCTCTCCACGGTTTCCACTGATAATTTTCCGCGCGGTTGAAACGTTACGGCCGTTTCACTGGGAGCGGACAACGGTTAGCGGCGCGATTATTACACATGGAAACGAAAAGGGAGCGGTAAAAACGGCGCCTTGGTTGCCCCCGGCGAAGACTGGAAGCCGTTTCGTAATCGCGGCCTGGATCATTTTCTGCACGACTGCGCGGGAAATTAGATCACCTACCTCTCATCCCGGTAGCGAGAGATCTAGGCAGGTTTCATCGCACGCTACAGGAAGAACGACTTCTTCTTCTTCGTCTTCTTTGTTCGTCTCCCACCTTTCTCCCCCGATATCTCGTTCGTCGTTCATCTCTCATCGACAGCTTGTCGCTAATTTTGCAATTTTTTCTTGTCTTTCCTGGGAGATCTCCCAGGATCGTTTGGTACCGATCGGTATCCTTTTCCTCCTTCGCGTGTAACACCTTTATTCTCGTCGCCCATCTCAGTACCGTTACACCAATTCCGTTATCAGCGTTTATCAACCAGTTCTTTGCTTCTGGAGGCTACCGCTTTGGGTGCTTTGTGTTTACTACTGGCCACCTCCAAAGTTTGGAAACATGTTTTTTTTTTTTTTGGTGTTATTAGACTTGAGAACAGACATAAAGGGCAGATCGTAAAGGGTTAATTATACTGGACCTCTCCACCGACTATTACCATTGGACCAACCCTATGTTACCCACGTTGCACCGATTTCTTTAATTCAGACAAAATCAACATTCGATTACGTGATCGTTGATAATCCACGGAGACGCATGCGCTCACCGATTACGAATAGCCCGAAGTATTATCCGTGAGCATGGGCGCGCTGTGCCCTACAGTGGATACGAAAAAAACCTCTCCGGCGTAGGTAACTCGGCCTCCTCGGCCGTTCTTTCGTTCCCGACTTTCTCCCTCCGTCGGGTTTGTCCTCGTCCTCGTCCTCTTCTTCTCTGGTTCTCGGCTCTGGCTTTGCTTTTGGCTTGGGCCGGGTGTAATCGGTTCCCCGAAGCCAGGGCTCATTATCGACCCGTCGGCCTAGCAATTACCTGCGAAGCCTCTTTCGACTTCGTGTGTGCCAGCCAGAGCGCAGTTTCCGACTCTCCACGAGGCCTTCCGAGATCCTTCGAGGATCCGCCGCTCGTAGAGAAAGGGAAAACCGAACGAGGACGCGGGGGGAACGGAAAGTCTGGCGTATCCAGAGAAACGGCTACGTTGTTGCTGGCGTTGCTGCCGCTGTTGTTGCTGATCGGTCTCTCGCGCGCCCTTACCTCGCGGAACGGCCAACGCAGCGATAATCTGTACGAAGATGCGGATAAACGACCGATGATAATTACTGGACGTGCCAGTAGTATGCGATAATTGCCGGGACTGCCAAGTTCGCACCAGTTGCGGCCGAGTATCCATCCACGAGAAGGCCCAGGAATGCTTTTTCCGCGAGGGCATGTGGATTCAGAATCCTGGCTTCTCGCCACGCAGGATTCTTGGGTCGCGATGAAAAAACGTTCCGACGCGATCCGCTCTGGCTGTTCTTTGCGGCGAAAGTGCACGAAATGCAGAAGTTAATACGTTGGTTGGGAGATTCTTTTGGGTTAACGCTAAGAAGTTAACCGTAATCGTAGAGATTCATCGAGATAGTAAATATCGGAAGAATAAGTAGCATGAACTTGTGGGACGACCTAATAAATTGGTATAATACCGTTTGATCTTATCTATGAATATTCGTACACTTATATTTGTCATAAATGCATAAATATCCGCGGTTTAGTAGTTACACCGTTTCATACCACTTAAAAGTACGTTTCACGTATTAATTTTAATAGCGAAGCAATAAGTGGCATGCAGTTGTGGAATGACTTAATATTCGCATTCCAATGTAACAGTCAAGGGTTGAGCAGACAATTTTCGGCGGATCGGAAAATTTCGCCTCGAGCGGAATTTTTTCATATCGTTCCACGTGTTTCTATGTTAATTGGCGTGGCACCGTTTAGAATAACGATAGTCACCGGTACGCGACATCATAAAATATTAAAAATTATGGAGAGTCTTACGCAACAAAGTATTTTCTTATCGTGAAGTTATTTCTACTATCGGCTGTACTTCGCCTAAATGCAATACTTACTTCGTTGGACTGTTGGACACAGTAGTATATTACAGCTATTAAAGGCCAGTCACGATAGTCACGTTAATAGCGGGAAGACTTATCTCTGCAATTTCTCGACAATTACGAGAACCTCTCTCTACTTTGTCAAATTCCTTTTTCATGGATGATTTTGCGGTACAATAGAAAGTGTATGAGGTACTTTGTTAAAGGATAGATTTTGTTATTTGTACGCCTATCCGTACAAATCTGTAACTCTAAAATTTCTATAGCTAACATAGACTTGAATATTCCAAATATAAAAATACTATCACTTCTAAAAAGTAGTGTTCTTTTAAGCAAAAATGTAAACTGCACTGAAATTAATATTTTGATATTAGGTGTAATATCTAAATAATCCTTAAATTAATAAAACACGAAAGAACTGCAATCAGTGTCTATATACCCGAGATAAGATATATCCAGGTAAATGAAATCAGAGTCGATTGAGGACTTCCTAATGAAACAGTTACAGTTCACAGTGTTGTAAGGAATTGCACTACTACAAACTCGAATGAACGAGTTGAGACCGTTAGAGAGCAATTATATTTTATCACAATAGTGACGCCTGACCACTCTTTATCGACTTGTCCGACAACGACTCGACTTTATATCTAGTGGTATATACGACACGGGACGAGTTTAATGCGATTCGAGGGATAAAGATTAAAAAGGACATGCCACAACGCTAAGCACGACTTAACGAGTTTCGAATCCCCTGACCGTGCAGCAGAGGGACGTTATCAGAAGGAGGTATCGACGTTTTTATGTAGCTCGTAAACATCACACCTTTTCTTTCTCGCGGATACGAACACGTGAAGGACGAGGATTGGATTCGTTTAACGCGTTCGACCGGTCAGATATTTGAACGTGTTCGTGGTCAGTTCGAAATTTTTCACGAAGAATTCGCGCGTTTACTATAAAAATTGCGCGAGCCCGCCTAGAGCCGAGTTCTCCGATTCGTGGAAAAGCGTTAACTGCATCTCGTGAGACCGGGAGCTTAACGAAGAGGGAACGCGCCACGACAAAAGGCAATTTTGCAGATAGCGGGCTAGCAACAGAGTTAAAGCCTCGCTACATCGGAATTACGTACGCGATCGTGAACTCGAGCTTCGCGAACGACACGTGAGACTTTTAATTGCCGGATTTAGGGTTGGGTAAACAATGCAGAAATTTGAGGTCGCGCTTATCTTAAAGTAGACTAATCGATCGGAGTCGGAGAGTCTCGCGACTTTGCTGATTTGAGCAGAACTTCATTTTCGAATAACGAAAGTCTTGATTAGAGCGACGACCCGACCAATTATCGCATATAAATCAGGAAAATTGTCATCTATCGTATACATTTAGTACCGAAGTACTACGTTATTACTATCGAAAAATAAATGTTGCGAATCATCGTGCATAATTACATAAATATGAAACGTGCATTAACATCGTAATGAAGCTATTAATTATAGGAGTAAAACGTTTGGATCGTTACAGGATGAGATAACATTTATTGGATGGAAATTACTGTGGTCTGAAATGAGTAAAATATAATTCTTGGAAACATTAATTAACGAAATTACGAGAGAACAGTCTACGCTTAGTATTATGTGCTTTTTGCAGGTCGGATGACCTAACAATGCGTGATTTGTCTTATTAACACCAGTATCAGATATGTTATGTATCGAGCGAAATAACCTTGGACAGAATAACATAGTTAAATGACTATTGTCGATTCCTCTAATTATTATACTTCAACGGTTATCAGAATTCGCTTAGATTTAAGGCACTTGAAATAAATGTATATTTATGAACTTCCTTATTTTGCAGAAACGAATGGTTTAAATGCTTTAAAGATACGAACAGTGTGGAAACTTTTCAAGCGTGTAATCTCTATTCAATTTTATTTGAATAACTCGTGACGAATGCAAACAAACGTATAACAATTCAATCGAAATGCTTATTCGATTGAATAGTTACTCGAATAAGTTTTTGTTCGTTCAACGTGAGATAATACTCGATATAATACTTAAATGTCTTAATTCAATTTAATTAAACTAAATAGTGATTAAATATTTCTACTTAAACTAGAGTAATGAATGATCGATTGTAAACGCACAGAATTAACTTCTACACCTAATACAGTACGTCGACGACAATACGTACGCGTCGCAGGCGTTTGGTGGAATTAATTAACGCAACGCCACGCGCAAATTAGCGGGAGCCCCCATTCGAAATCGAGCGGCGTTTCTGTGCAGAGCGGTGGAAAGTAATTAGGTGTCATTACGGCATCCCGGTAACGGGTGTATGTGGCTGGGAGGGAGTCTGGATTCAGTTTGCTGAAGTGATTATTTTTATTGTCATTTCCGGCTGGCTTCTCGGAAATCTCGGAAACGACACGTACGATGCATTTGCACGAGATCCGCTGAATTCTTCGCCTTCCTTTTCGTTCGCTCGCCTATCCACAATTCACATTTTCTCCTCTTTTGCGATTTCCTCTACTCCTCTGGACCTTTATCTCGATTTTCCATTCACTTTAACCACCGGCATCGTGATGTATTTGTTTACTCCCCAGGGTACATAGCGATTACGTTATCCATTAAGCATAAAATTCCTTTTACTTTTAAATTGACAGTCATTTTCGGTGCGTTGTGATAAAAACCGTTTCATTGAAAAAAAAAAAAAAAATACTTGAATCGAGTAAATGGATTTCTAAAAGTAGAGCACTGGAAATTATTGTTCCATGTATGTAAATCAGTAACCATTTACCATTGATCATTAATCCTATGTCGAGTGAGGCTCGACGAAAATATACTGAAATGAGAAAGTTTGGACCGTAAAGAGAGTCCATTCGTTGAGCTGTAGGGACACCAATGCTGATTATAAAACTTCTATATTTTTCGGTTTCAGATGATTTGGTCATTTGATACTTTTTCCGCCAACCCTGGACGAGTGAGTATACGTAATTGGCCATAACCTTTATAGAAATCAAAATGTTTCAATTAAATCTACTAAGTGTGTAGTTTAGTACATGTACGTTTATGTGGTAGATAAACATAAGACAAAATTACACGAGTGTGTTCCAAAAAAATTTCCAAAAGTTCAAGCATAAACGATATTTGAAAGAAGACAATCGTTTGAATCACCAAAAAATGTCGTCTTATAAAAATTCCGAAAGTTCAATGTTCAGCTTATCGACTTAATTACAAATACGTTGAACAATAAAATTTTGATTTCTGGTGTATCTACTTCTCTTGTTACGTTTATACTTCGACACGTTCCTACTCGAATCCTAACAAATTTCTCGGACCATCAAAGAGAAGAGATCCTCCTCCAAAAGCTCCAAAAGTATCATTTTCATCTCATCGCGCGCCCAACCCCTTAATTGAAACCACCCGGATTAACGAGATTTTAAGTCGCAAAGCAAATATCTATTTCTCCAGTCAAGTTTATCGAGTTTTGCGCGAACAGGCCCGACAGCCAGTAATTTTCGCGCAGTACATCAGCATGCGGCTTTTTAATATCGTTCGGCACAGTATATCATCGTTTTGTTCGTAGCCGTTCTCCGTCGTGCACGGCTTAACGCTCGCGCGGCGCGCCCCGAGCGCGCTGAGAAAAGTGGCCTCTACGCGTAACTGTAATAAAACTCGCATTACGCTTCGCGTAATACGTGCATAAACTATTCGCGTGTACTGTGCACGCGTATAAAATGCAAAAGTTCGTGTTCACCGGGCCGGTCTCGTTCCCACTCGTCACGAACGCTTGCTATAATAGATTTATTTCGCAGAAACCAACGACCGCGCGCCACCTCCTCCCTCCTCCTCTCCCCCCCCCCCCCTCTCCCCTACCCCACTGCCCCTCGTTGAAAGTCAAAATTGCAGACGTCGGCGTTAAAAGCGATCACCGCCGCTTTCTATTCGGGTCCCAATTGGTCGAACGCAAACGGCAGTGATACGACTTCCGTAATCGTTTGGAGAACACCGCACACGTAAAACGTGGGTGTGGAAGGCGCCAGCAGCTCTCGCTACAGCTGGATCGTGTTTCTGGCGTGGCGATACCGGTATCCCTTCATTCCTGAGTAATCGTCAGGGCCCAAGGCAATCTATCCGCCATTTTCTAAATACGTTGCCCGAATATCGAACGTACGGGAATATCGTGGCTCTGACGAAACCTCCTGTCTCGTACGAAATACGTGGTGGCTGTTTTTTTCAACCTGGGTCGTTCCTTCGCGTGCACCGGACCAATTTCGTTTTTTTTTTTTCTTCTGCCACTTCTGCCATCGAGACTACAGTCTCCGGTAAGCGGGATCACGTGGCTTGCGACAGAATCGAAACTGCGGAATGTTGCGCACGGAATAGTCGTGGAATCTTTTTTTTTTATCTTGTTTAAATGAAAAATATCGGATAAAGATGGGCGAAAAAGTGTATTCGAAGTAAATGTATCCGACGTGTAAAGATAGAAACGAAGAATTCCGTATTCCGTTGGAGTGACCGCTGGCAGCAGCGATTTTTAGCCAACCAAGCTCGAGGATGGTCGATTCCTCTGTTCGACGGCTAATCCGTTTGCCTCTTGGAGTCGTCAAGGGACATTTGGCACGCCTGGCTGGCTCTCCAAGGTGGACACAACGAGGATCGAACGTGAAAGGGTTGAAAAGCCTGCGAAATCGTGGAAAGAGCGTATCGTTGGTCCGCCCCCGAAGCATCAGCTGAGGTCTCTGACATTTGCTGCCAGCTGGTTTGTTTTCGTTGGGCCCGAAGAGTCGTTTATTATTAGCTTGATGTCTTGTTACGGGAACGCGTTCCGGGAAGACAGGCCTAAGCCAAGGCTTTGAATTTCTGGAATTCAGAGGTTGTCGCTCCGAGCTAATTGGTTAACGCAATGAACTCATTGAACAAAGTGCTTGCGTACTCTGTTCGACGGGGTACGACATCCCGTGTCTCTTTCCAGAACGGGGAGAGATTACGTCTTCCGCGTAATCGCGTTCACGCAAAACAGAAATTACGAACGGGTAGACCAGAACTCGTTCCTGGCAATACTAATTGCACCAGATCCCCTCCGTTATGTGAACTAATTCGGGGGGCAAAAGTGTTCGGATAAATGAATTGTCACAGGAACAAGTGGTTAGTGTTACATTTTATACAATATTGCATGAAATTTATACAATTTGTGTCTCGATTACTTCGTCTAATAACTGAATAGAATATAAAATAAAAGTGATATCGGTCGATCTACCTATTTGTAGCTGCTGGTCTCAAACGCTTATATTTCACGTGATATTAAATTCAATAATACATGAAACAATTAGTGATTCATTCCTAATTACCAAAATAAATAAATATATGAAGTCAGGTAACGATACGAGGCTACAGGATACACGAATTGCGAGCTCACCAGGAAAGCGATCCTTGCCTTTCTCCGGCTCTTGGTTCCCATGTACAGCGCGTTTAAAATTTTTGTCTTCGATTCATACACAATGGTCGTAAGTTTGATCGCATCTCCTCTCCATTTCGAAAGTCTGGCCAGCTCAACGCGAAACAGAGATGGATCGTCCACCTCTACAAGACTCTTAACCACTGATTCTCCTTCTCGCCATGCCACTCTCATCCGCATCAATCTTTCGTACCACTCCGCTAATTCTCATCTCATCCGTCCAGTCGTTTGTTTCTACTTGGCCACACGTGAAATCTCCAGCCCTCGTTTCTCTACTTCTCATTATTACAGCTCTCTTCTATCGACTATCAGCGCTTATTCACAATCGGAGATACCTTGCTCGAGGTAGCAAGATGGACGTAATAACGAGGAGACGCCGATGCAGGACAGTGCGTCGGCCAGTGCGTACGCGCATCAGTTAGGAAACGTTAATCACCGCCGAGGGATCTCGAATAGCACTGACTACGTTTTAATTACTCGTCGCAACGTGGAGAATGTAGAATGACATCAAGATGCCCGGGGGTGACGAGGAGCAGCACGGGTGGAAAGGGAGGAGGACACGGAGGAGCGTTGACCGCTCGTAAAAACGGCTCTGCCAGTTTTCCAGTCCGTCCTACTCTCAATCACCGAGTCAATGCAAATAGCGACGCTACTTGCGGCGTCGATAACAGAACCGATAATTGGACGCATTTTTTTTAACGTCCTTGCCTATCTAGATTTCTTGCAACTGTATCGATTCTGTCCTTGCGCCGACAACTAGAGGGTCGGTACCCTTATGTTGTTTGCGCATGGCTTCGTTCGCGACAATAATCCTAGGTATATACAAGACTATATTCTTCAGAGATACTCTCTCAAAATTTCACGATCAATGGACGATTAAAAGCCGAGTTATTGCTTTGTGACAGTGTGTTTGTTGCAAAAAGCAGGAAGTTCTGCGATATTTCTCATTGGGTCAACAAGTGTTCCTGTCGCGTCATCCGCGCAGAATCTGACGAAATCGTTCGTGATCCTTTTTAACCAGTGAATCTTTTTCGTTGAAACCCCAAACCTCTGACAATAATTCAGCGAGCGTGCTCACCGTTTGAATGTTCCCCAGCACGAGATTCGTCGCTCTACCCGAGAGTCTGCTTGATCGCGTGTCCATCTATCGCGGCGACCTTGGAGCGATTCAGATTAAGCCGATGAAGAGGTTCGAAATCCTCTCGTGTGACTTTTTCGGTACCGTTCATGCCCGCTGCCCAGTTCTACCTTCCACGAAATATCCCCCGGGTTCAAAATTATCCCACGTTTACGGCGACCTATCACGGATGTTTTAAACGTTCGAACGAATTTCTCGATGACGAAACAGTCCTCCTTTCGTAGAACATAACGTAGAAGCTTTTCGAAACAACACTTTTTGTTCGTTTTCATTCGTTTATATTTAATTGACCCTCCGAAGTCGTATTGAATTCAGTCATGGGTGTCATACTGGTCGGAATTAATTTAAAAAGAAAAGACCTTCATACCTCCTTAGTAGAAAGGATGGTTCGGTCGGTGTGTCTCTGCGAGTCGATCTCGAAACGTGAACGATTGGAAGCGTTCCGCGAGGATGGACGTTTGATCGTTGCCCGCTCCGAAGGGAGCGTGCAGCATCGAAAGAGAAGTTCCCACGTAGTCCAACGTCGAAACCTTCGCCGTGCTCGAGAGATCGTCGGCACGAAAACGGGGATAATTGTAGCTTGGTAAATACCGCTACTTAATACCCAGCTCGTACACGCGTACGTAGTTCGTACGGCTAGTCGCGGCTCACGTATTAGCTCCTCCGCTAGTTGTAGCGGCGTCAATCCGCTTGGAAAACGTTTCTCTCCTCGCGCAACGTGTAGAAAACGAGATAATTGTACGCGGCCAATCGCATACGTTGAAGATATGCGCTTCCGCCGCGGATCTGGCTCGGGGTAATTTCAGGCCATCGCTCACTGAGAACGATGAATACATTTTGCGATCGACGAAACTCGTGTTTCGAGATTTCGTCGTTTATTTTATGCAATTTTTCTTTAGAAAGAGGTCTTCAGAAAGGGTCTACAGAATTTGCTTTTCGTTTTAATAAGAAAGGCTTTCTGATTGAATAAACCTGAAGCTTAATAAACAAGAGGGTGATTCGAGGGCACAGCGAGACCAACAAATACGTTTTCTTCATCTATTTTGTGCATTCGTTTAAACAGAAAGTTTTCCGAAAGAAGATTTAGAATTTAGTTGTTTCTTCAATCAAGATGAGTTTTCATTGTAACAAGTGACCGCACAATAGCATAAAAGAAGATGTTTTTTTTTTTTTATACCTAATACATAATAATAGTTTTATCATTTAGTAGTCTCATAACTTTTTTCCGATATCATTCCATTCTCGACATCTGCAAACTTATCGATATGTACGTATTCGCACTAGGTGAATCGAACGTGGATACTGAATTTTTAATGCGACAGCTTGATAATCTCGCAGAGCTTTTCTTATAGATCGAATTGATCATATACACATGCCATTCATC